ATATATATATAATATTTTATCTAAGGATCAAAAAATAAATTTGACTATTAAAAAATATAATAAATATTAATATTTATATGATGTTTATAATTATTAAATTTTAGATGTGAGATAAGTAAATATGAAAGTTTTCATGCTATTTTTGTAAAAGTTTCCGCATAATGTTATAGAGCTAAACTTTCAAATTTACATTCATAATACTCACATCCTTAACATTAAATCAAAAGAATTATTCAACCGTAGGGCAAATTAGACGTAGTTACACCATAAAATACATATATTTGTGATTGAGTTGGCGTAGCTTCAGTGGCGAACAAGGTTATAGAGAGTCGTCTTAGATGATTTGGTTATATTAAACATCGATCATCTGATGATCTAGCCAGGAGAGTTGATGTTTTAGATTCGATTTATATTCGAAAAGATAAAGATAGACCTAGCATATTGTATATAAATGATCTTAGTTATTATAATTAAATGAAATTAGCAATAGAGAATAAGGATTCATGCAGCCGACCTCACGTAATGGGATAAATATTTGTTGTTGTTGTTGTTGATGACATTGTACATCACAACGTTGAAATATATTCTCAAAGTAACTTGCTCGAACTTGTTCTGACAATTCACTTGAGCACTCAAATAATACATTGGCATTGAGCGGATTTAAGTGAACAAGACGAACTATAACTTCTAGTTGAATAAAGTCTAATATTATTTTGCAGTAAATCAAACAACTTTAAAGTATTTCAAATACAATACACTTATGTCTTACATTTATCTTACCTTCTATTACTTTTTCCGCAAATCAAACATTTTCTTATGAGATCAATATGATGACTTATTAGTATAATTCTTCGTCAAGCACAAAAAAAATAGACAAATTTACGTAAATACCATACAATTCTTATCAATTTACAAAACTAACACAAAGTTTAATATTTATATTCATAATACTTTGATATTTTCATTTTGATGTAAGAAAATTGAGAGGTATATACATAAATATAAAACTTTAGGCATTATATATGTTAATATATAGGTATTATGTGGTATGTATGTAAATGCTATTAAAAAAAAAAAAAAAAAAAAAAAAAAAAAAAAAAAAAAACATCACCCATGAGCATATATGAACAAATCCCGAATTATCACCATCTATAAACTATAGGTATTAAATAATAATAATAATGATAATAATAATAAATAAGCAATTTAATTTTATTATTTTTTATTAATTTGATTTGGATAATTATTATCTATTTTTGAATTAGTCAATGTCGTTATCCAAAAGGCTAAGCAGCACGGTCAACTTCATTTAATCTACATAATTTGGACATTTATGTAACATTCTCTTTAATTCTAAAAAACTAATAATGTCAAAGCTTTTCCTAAAGTTTTATTTTCTTAATATGATTAATTTAATCTTTATTTTATTTATTTTGAGATTTATTTAATTAATTAATTACAGGAAAACTTAGGTCTGTTTTGGGGCAGCTACAGCTTATTGAATGGTCAGCTGATAAGCTAGGTGCGACGACTATTATAAATTTTTTATTTTTTTAAAAAATCAAACCGCTGCGGGTAAGTTGCCACCGCACCTAGGTGTGAAAATGCTATTTTCAGCGTTTTCAAAACGCATAAGCTGTCAAAACGCAGTTTACCCAAATATGTCAGACGTGTTTTCAAAACGCCACAACACCAAATAAGCTGCCCAAAACGGGCCCTTACATACATATCATTAAGTTTTTATATAATTATTCCTCGAACATATAATGTTCAGTTTTTACATGTATATATATAACCTTTTCTATGCATGAAAAGTTCTACATTTCACTTTTTATATATTTTACTCACTTGAATGCATTTGATAATTATGGAATTGTGCATAATTCTATAAGTATCGAACATTTGATCAAATTTCCTCATTTTTGTAGGTGGCAAAATTTTACGTTGGAAAAGAATTTATATAATTACATAATTGTGCTATTATTTAAATAATAAAAGTCGAAGAAATTGAGATGGAGAGGCACGTGAAGCAAGGAAAATATTCGTGTGCGTCAGACGTACGCAGAGTTGTGTACGTGGGGAGATTATAAGAGGGTTATATATGTGTTATACCCTTCTTTAACCTCCATGTAACCTATAAATAAGTTCCGTGTTTCTGTAGTTCCGATAGTTACAGGGATGTTACATGAGGGTAAAAAGCGGATATAACACTTATGTACCCTCTGAATAACCCCCGACGTACGCAGCGCTGCGTAAGTCTTATGTATACAAATATTTTCCTTGAAGCAACGCTTTATGTTAGAAAAGAAATTATATGATGACATAATTGTGCTAATCAAATAGTAAATTTACATTCATGCCCCACAATTCTTATATAATTATAAAGATAACGCATAAATTTTCATATTTACATGCATAACATTGAAAATTTTAACATCACAAAAAAAAATCATAATCATACATTTTCATGCATAGAATAATGGCACCAAAGGGTCATAAGCCCAAATATCAAACTCTTTTGAGTTAGATATGTAAATACATAAGAATTGTGGGGTATGTATTTAAATTTTCCATTTAATAAATTTTATTATCTTTATAATTTATAATAATCCATAGGAAGGCGTGTTCAAGTTGACAAATGAGGATATAATGTTCAAATAAATTACAATTACAAGAAAAACTACTTGGCAATATAAAAATAAGATAATAAAATTTAATTTTAGTTTAATATTCCTAAATTTAATATGGCTCATGACATGCCACCAAATTCCTATATATTTACATATCCATCAACTAAAATTTATTTTTTTTATATTTATACCACCCAAATCTTTCATATGAAATTAAAAATATAAATATTTTTATTTTTAAAAAAATGAAATACATTTTTTCATACATATGTATGGTGGTATATATATACACGTAAAAATTGAAGTTTAGGTGTTGGATATTTACGTACATAGAATTTGAGCGGTAAAGATGTAATAATGTAAATCTTTATTTTTTAGGTACATGCATAGATGTTTACAAATTTGACTTTTTTTGCTTAGAATGCGACGTAATATGGCAAGAGAAAGTTCAAAAGAAAATAATAGAGAAAAAAAAAAAGAGAGAAGAGGATGAACTCTCTCATCTTCTTTTTCTTAACTTTTGCAAAATTTTAAATTATAATAAATTATACTTTACAAAAAAATAAATATTTTATTTAATCATTTAAGGTTGGAATTAAAAAATATATATATTTTCAATGACAAAATAATATATTTTTTATGTATAACCTAAGTATAAAGGCACACGTTAGAATCACTAAAAAGATAAAACTCATCATTCAATTATTTAGTTTGTTATTTTCTAAAGACTATGAACCTCTCTTGTTGTTCCATATAAATTTGCTATTATGATTAACCATTAAGCAATGTTGTTTTTTCATATAATCAATAAATGGGTCTAAGTTTACAAATATTAAACAAAAGCAATCAAAATACACTTGTCTTTATATCTTTCAACAAGAGTAACTGGGATGGGTAACGCTTCAGAAAACATAGACTTTGAGTTTTGTTCTGAATGTTGAAACTAGAGGAAATAATTTGGATAGAAACAAAAGTCGAAAGATTCAACTTCAGGTCAAAAGGAGAAAAAGATAGATGGATGTCGAAGCTACAGGAAAAAAATGTTACGTTAAAAAGTACAACAAAACTCCAAAGGAGATTGGTGTTGGAGGTCCAGATAGAAAGTTCTTTACAAATGTTTTCACGGATGAAATCTAACATGACTCATTTATTTTATCCCATAATAGTATTGAATCGGGAATATTAGGTTCAAGTGTTTTTTTCACGCTTGTCCCACTAAAAAGGTGTTAAAAAACTCGGATGAAATCTAACATGACTCATTTATTTTATCCCTAAATAGTATTGAATCGGGAATAATAGGTTCAAGTGTTTTTTTCACGCTTGTCGCACTAAAAAGGTGTTAAAAAACTGCACTCAAAGTGTATATGAAAGATGTATTTAAGAGGTTACAAGGACTGCACTATTACTAGATATGATGATGTAGATATCAGATTGTCAAAGGAATCGGTCTAAAAATTGAATGAAATTAGACATGTTCAATGTTTGAATAGAAATTTATTATTATGAATAACCATTCACCAATATGGCTTTTTTATATATTCAATAAATGGACATAAGTTTACAAATATTAAACAAAGGCAATCAAAATGCAACTTGTGTTTATATTTGCCAACAAAGACTAACTGTCAGGAAACATAAAGTTAAACATTGATGATATTATGGGTGAAGAAATTTGTTAGAATATAAGCAGCGAAACTTTAAATTTTGCTCTGAATGTTGAAACTAGAGAAAATAATTTGGATAGAAACTTTAGTAGAGAAATATTCAACCTCTGGTCAAAAGAAGAAAAATAGTTGGATGTAGGAGCAACGAGAAAAAAAAATGTCACTTTAAAAAGTACTACAAAACCCCAAATTAGATGGTGGTAGAAGTCCAGATAGAAATTTTTCTACAAATGTTTACACAGATGAAATCTAGCATAACTCAACTATTTTATCTTTAGATAGTATTAAATCATGAATAATAGGTTCAAGTGTTTTTTTCATGCTTGACCCAATAAAGATGTGTTAAAAACTGCACTAAAAGTGATCTATGAAAGATGTATTTAAGAGATAAAAAGGATTGCACTTTATTATATATGACGATGTTGATATCAGGTTGTCCACTGGATCGGTCTAAAAATTGAATGAAATTGGACATGTTTAGTGTTTGAATAGAAATTTGCTTTA